GGCCAGGGAGTGCAGTGGAGGATGGCCCAGGTGCTTGGGCCCTGCACCCCATGGGAGACCAGGAAAAGCACCTGGCTCCTGGCTCCTGCCATCGGATCAGTGCGGTGCGCCGGCCGCAGCGCGCCAGCCACGGCGGCCATTGGAGGGTGAACCAACGGCAAAGGAAGACCTTTCTCTCTGTCTCTCTCTCTCTCTCACTGTCCACTCTGCCTGTCAAAAAAAAAATCCTTAAATACTTGATTTCTTTACATAAAATTACTTAATATATGCATATGATTTGTGTACATCTTCCCGTATACTCTAGATGATCATCTCTAGCTTACTTATACATAGTACAGTGTAAGTGCTACATAAATAGTTGTTCAACTACATTTTTTTTGGACAGGCAGAGTTATAGACAGTAAGAGAGAAAGAAAGGTCTTTCTTCCGTTGGTTCACTCCCCAAGTGGCTGCTATGGCCGGCGCGCTGCGCCGATCCAAAGCCAGGAGCCAGGTGCTTCCTCCTGGTCTCCCATGCAGGTGCAGGGCACAAGCACTTGGGCCATCCTCCACTGCCTTCCTGGGCCACAGCAGAGAGCTGGACTGGAAGAGGAGCAACTGGGACAGAACTGGTGCCCCAACCAGGACTAGAGCCTGGGGTGCCGGCGCTGCAGGCGGAGGATTAGCCTAGTGAGCCACGGCGCCGCCATCAACTACATTCTTTTGTGAATAATGACAAGGAAAGAATTCTGTGCATGTTCAATACACATGCAATTTTTTTTCAAGCCAAGACAATCCTAAATTGCTTGAATCTGCAGATACCAAACCTGCAGGTGCAGAGCCTAACTATTTTATGTAAACTCGGAACCATAGAAGACTAGGAGAGTGGGAAACCTGAAAAGTATTTAAGAAATTAAGTGACAGTGACATGCCACTTAAAAGAGCATTTTCCCTTACTGAGAATGAATTGTTGAATGGTAATAGTATTGTGGTGATATGGAGTAGAAAACACATGAGGCATTTGAGGAAAGCTGGTAGGCTTTTGGACATAGAGACAGGAAAATGGACATAGGCATTCTTTAGGGAACACCATCAGCATTTACTGCTGGATTGCACAGTGTAAAGAGGAAATTTTAAAAAGTTTCACGGATGACTCCCAATGTTTAGCTGAACAAGTAACTGGAGGATTTGTGATGTTGTTGCCGAAATGGAAAGGAGGGGAGGAGTTGAGAGAAAATAGTTAAGTTTTTCACATATTGGATTTGTGATGCCTGTGAAACTTCCAAAGGCGATGTGAAATAAGCAATTGGGTATAAGTTGTCAATAGCTCAGAGAAATGTGGGCTAAAGTTAGTACAAAATGCGGTGTCATTGGTTCATTGTGGTAATTAAAAACTTGGGATTGGAAAGTGTACTTAATTGGAAATTAGAGAGTAAGAGGAAAAAAGAGACTGTACTTCTGACTGGGAAGTCCTTCTTGAAGTTCAAACCTGTGTATTCAACTTCTGCTGATGGCCCATAAAACTCTCACATAAAAAAATATCTAAAACTTAGTACATTGTCTTTCTTGTTACCACATATCTTATTTTCTACTTTACGTCCTATCCTAGAGATTAGGTAACATTATTGTTCACCCAGATCAACTATGATGGAAGCCTGATAGTCATCCTAAACTATTACTTTTCCCTCACATCCTGTCAAACACTAATTCATGAACTTCTAATATTAATGTTACATATTACTAAGATGCTAACTTGATATTAATATATGTTAAATAATTCAGAAACTGCTTCATCCTCTCTGCCCATTGCCACTGAGTTTTTCTGGCTCTTGGTTTTTCTTTTCCATACTACTGCACTAACCCCAACTGAAAATATATGGTGTATGCTCCTCCTTTACATTGTTGCCATAGTATTCTTTTTGAAATAAGGAAATATTTGACCATGTGACCATTTTTTAAGGATTTCTTTGAAATGCAGATATACAGAGAAAGGAAAGAGAGAAAATATCTTCCATTCACTGGTTCGCTCCCCAAATGGCCTCAAGGACCCAGACTGGGCCAGGCCAAAGCCAGGAGCTAGGAGCTTCTTTTGGGCCTCCCATGTAGTTGGAGGGGCCCAAGACCTTGAACCATCTTGTGCTGTGTTTCCAGGCACATTAGTAGGGAAATGGATTGGAAGTGGAGTAACCGAGTCTTGAACTGGCACCCATATGGGATGCTGGCATTGTAGGTGTAGGCTTAACCTGCTATGAACCCTGTTCCTGAATAAAATTGATTATGACTTCCTTAGTACCTCTAGATGTTGTATCATACTTAGTTTAACATATCTCTCCCTCTATTAAAGTTTATTTAGGATAGAATTTGTATTTTATTTTTATGCATGCATAAGCCTAATACATAATAGATTCCTAATAAATGCCAAGATGCTGTAGTATAATGGTTAGGATTTCAGACTCTTGGTGGGACAGATATGAGTATAAATATTGGTTCCAAAAATAGTAACTAAGTGACACTGGAAGTGATTTAACTCAGTTCCATCATCTGTGAAATGTATGTGATAGCGATATACATTGAGTGTTCCTAATACAAAATCACAAAATATGGAGTGCTCCAAAATCTGAAACCTTTTTTAATGTAAACCACTCCTTAGTCCTTCACCAAATTACTACACTCTCTTCTCACTCATGAGTCAGAGGGATCTCAATTTTTTTGTTTGTTTGTTTTGTTTCTTGGGTTTTTCTTATTAAATTTGAGAGAGAACTCCCATCTACTGGTTAATTCCCCAAATGACTGCAACAGCCTGAGCTCGGCCTGCCTGATTCTGGGAATTCCATCTGGATCTCCCATGTGAGTGGCAGGAACCCAACTATTTGAACCATCCCTACTTCCTTCCACAGTGCATATTAGCAGGAAGCTGGAGTCGGAAGCCAGAACTGGGAGTATAAAACCCAGGCACTCTAATAGGAGGTGCAGGTGTCCTAAATGGCAGCTTAACTTATGCACTAAACACTTGCCTCTGAAACTTCTTGAGTATCAAAGTGACTTTAAAAAATTTTAGATTTTTTTCCCAGAAACCATTTATTTAAGGAATACAAACTTCATGCATTACATAAGTACAACTTTAGGGACATGGTGATTCTTCCCACCATACTTCCCACACTCTCACCCCTCTTCCTCCTCCCTCTCCTATTCTCTTTTTCTTTTTACCAAGATCTATTTCCAATTAACTTTATACGCATATGATTATACTAAGTAAAGAGTTCTATAAATAGTATTAAACTGTTCCTCAACAGTCTAGACAGGGGCTATTCAAAGTCATTGCATCTCAAATTGTCAGTTTTACTTCTGTGGATTACCTTTTAGGTGCTCTATTAGTTCTCACAGAACAGAGAGAACAAATGGTATTTGTGCTTTTTGGACTAGCTCATTTCACTAAGTATGCTGTTTTCCAGTTTCATCCTTTTTGTTGCAAATGACAGGATTTTTTTTTTTTTTACCGCTGTGTAGTACTCTGTAGTGTGCATAATTTCTTTATCCAGTCTTCAGTTGATAGACATATGGGTTGATTCCATATCTTATCTATTGTAAACTGGATTTTTAGTTTTCATATAAGGGATGCTCATTGGATATTTAAAAATTTGAAAAACTCTGAAATCTGAAACATGTGTGGTCTTTAGTGTTTCAGATAAAGGGTATTCAACATGTACTAAGCTTCCTACAGTATTTGTAAGAATGTAGACTGTAATAATGATCATAACAAGTAATTATATATTTAGTATTGAATGTCAGGTGAATGCTTTAGATACTCATCACTTTTAAAATATAAATTTGAGTACCTTCCTTATCTGGCATGTACATAAAAAGTTCTGACTCTGTATCTGACAGCTCTGTTTCACATACCAAATCCCATAAACAGCATATTTCCTTACCAAAGGTATGCCATATTCTAACTTCCCTTGCAATCATTGTTACACTTTGATTTGATTTGGAATGTCTCCCTCTATTTTTCTTCTTAAATTTTTATTCATGTTGTAAGGCTTTTACTGTTCACTCTCTAATCTCTTGCTATTCATTATCAAGCTTGTTTAAATACTTCTTTCCTGGGCATGTGTGGAACTTTGTACATGCATCTGCTTCACTTGTATATGTGTGTATCACTCAGAGAAGACTTCCATTTCTGTATTCACAGAGTCTAGCCTAATGCTTGGGCCATGATTCAATAAATATTTATTGAGTAAATGTATTCAGGGGTCAGTAAGTCCCTGATGCAGATAAATGTTTTTACGTAAATGTCATACTTTGTATCAAGAGTCAGTGAGCTCACTCCCTGCATTTGTTTTGTTTTGTTTTATTTTATTTTATTTTATTTTATTTTATTTTATTTTTATGTCGGAGTTACACAGAGGCAGAGAGAGAGAGAGAGAGAGAGAGATCTTCATCTGCTGCTTCACTTCCCAGTTGGCCGCAACTGCAAGAACTACGCTGATCCGAAGCCAGGATCAGGAGCTACTTCCATGTCCCCCAAGTGGATGCAGGGACCCAAGGACTTGGGCCATCCGCTATTGTTTTCCCAGAGAGCTGGATCAGAAGTGGAGCAGCTGGGATATGAACCAGCCTCCATATGGGATGCGAGTACTGCAGGCGGCAGTTTTACCTGCTACGCCACAGCGCTGGCCCCATGTTTTATAAATGAAGTATCTCTTGGCACGATCATGGTCATTCATTCATGTGTTTTCTGTGACTGCTTTTGCACTATCATGTCATGCTTGAATCATGGTGAGAATAGATGGCTTACAAGGCTTAAACTTTCACTAACTTGCTTTTTGTGAAAAAAGTTTCCTGATTCCTCTATGTAGGTGAATTACTTTAAGTAATGCTTGGAAAGGACATGTGAAATTAGCAAAATTGACCCTTTTCTATAGCATATTAAAATGCAGTGATATCCTTTTCCTATTCTTATACATTCCTTTTTCAAGCATCTGTATTTTGTTAACACTCTAATGTTTTTTACATGACTATAGGCAGGAGCAAGCTTTTACAAGATTACTGGCCTGGGCCCTTTGCCTCAAGCTGTTTATAATGGTGAACCCTTGAACAAAGAAGAGATGAATAGAAAAGAACTAGAAATGGCTATTAGCGACAAAATGATGGATACATCTGTATATTTACAAAGAGATTTTTTTATGGTAAGTAAGCATTTTTGAGAAAATACATGATAAATGATATTTATGTATTATACTTAAAATTTATTTTAATGGCAAAGTTAATGTTATAAAAATTTCCATCCTAATCATTTCTGATTTTAAATGTAATAAACATCCGTAATTGCAACCAAAAAGCTTAAATAGAAAAAATTTTAACTTTTATAAGGAAACTTACTGCAGTACTCCTAAATTGCATATTACTTATTGATTTGTTTCAGGTTGTGAAATCTTTAAATATATTAGCATAATTTAGAAAGTTGTATGTAAACTCCCTATATTTTCTAAATAATGTTTTTCCTATCTTAGGGCACATTAAATGATAGAATGAATGCAATTGATTTCTTAATGGATAAGAATAATGTTGTACCCCGTATAAATTCTTTGATTTTGAGTACCAAACCGCAGTACCTTAATTTAATACCATCATCAGGTAAAATAATGCTCCATGTGCTATTCTACAAATGTTTAAGTTGTGAATGTTTTTTCATTATTTAATATTAAATATGAAATTTTTCAGTAACTGCTGATATTGAAGATTTCTCTACTTTTTCTTTCTTGGATTCACATGATAAGAGTGCTGTAATTGCAAAGAACATGTATTATTTAACCCAAGAAGGTAATAAATACATTTGTTTTCCTAAATTTATTCCTAAAGTAATAAGAACTTAAAGTGTAACCTTAAGGTGCTTACATAATAAATTTTATTATATTGCCATCTTTGAAGATCTGGATTTCAATTTGTTTGCAATTTGTTAGGATTTAAGGATTTAGCTGAAAAAATGATGCCTCCTATCATAACTAATTATATATACAGGAGTTCATAGTTGCTTTTTGCCTTTTGAAAAAATAAGCTCTTATCATTTTCACCATTTTAAGAATAAATAAAACTTGTTTAAGTTAGGAGGCGGAGAGAGACAGAATGCTCCCATCTGCTAGTTCACTCACCAGATGCCCACAGCAGCTGAGGCTAAAAGCCATAAATGCAGTCCAGGTCTCTCACATGGGTAGCAGGAACCATGGACTGAGTCATCACAATTGCCTTCTGGGGTCTACATTGACAGCAAACTGGAATCAACTGGAGGTTAGAATCAACCCTCCATACTTTAGTGTGGGATGCAAGTGTCTTAACTGTTAGACAAAATACCCACTCCAAACTTTTTCAAAATTATGCCAATGCCATAGTAAATTATAAAAGTGCAATTACTGAGACATATGAGATGATAACTTTTCTGAATTCTGATTAAGCAGGAATTGAAGGTTTTGCCTATATTGGGGGTTTTAACCAGAGGAATAGAATCCAAAACCATAACACATTGAGAAATGAGGCTTTATCCTAAGCAGAGAAGTCTGCATACAGGCTTATTACAGTACAATGAATTATTCAGATTAATGAAGATAGAATTTGGTTGGTTTTTGTTTTGCTTTGCTTTGTCTAGCCTACTTTACTCTGGAGATAAAAAGGAAAGCCAATAAATAAAACATTGAAAAACGCACATTTGAACTCGGGAAATAAGCAGTAAAATGAGGGTGATCTAAAGATGGAATGAACATGTTGTAAGGGGTAAACTTTTATGAATGAGAGCAATTTGAAGAAAACACCACACAGTCATTTTGTATGAATGCTGTAGATTGAATCCAAGTTTTGACCAGATAGCCCTTAGTTTACTTTATAGATTCTATAATTTTGTGTTCATAATGTGGTTTGTACATAAGGAGTCCAACAAATAATCAAATATAATGCAGTTCCATCTCATGGAAGGCTGCAGCCCTGAATGTATCAAGTGAAGGTAAGGGAGAGAAGAAAACCACAAGTATATTAATCAAGTTCTGGGTATTATTTCAGAAAATGTCTCTAGACATCAGAATAAGTTATCTTGTAATTAAAGCCATTTGGTTAAATCTCTTGAATTAAAAATACTAACTAGAACCTTATTTCTTCTTAGTTGCATTTATGTAAATGTGTAAAGAAATGAGAGTTTCAAGAGGTTATGAGCACTTTTGAAATATTTCTGTTTACTGCCTCTGATAGTAAAAGTACTGACATTAGGTAGCATCAGAATTCTTTCCCTTTCTTTTTTGAAAATAATATGTTACTGTCTTGCTATAAAGTTGACTACTGAAGGTGGCATGTTGAATAGGAGTTCTCCTTTTTGTATTTTTAATTCTTTCATTAACCAAATCCCTGTTTTTGTATGGTTAAATAGTACTATATTAATAACTGTAAGTTTTAGACCTATTCAGGAGTAAGTTTTTGATATAGAAGATTTTTTTACAATTATTTTAAGCTTATGACTTGATCTAAAGGATCGATTTTTCTATTAGTTTTATTGCTGGCCAGACAAGTATATTTCACATGTTATATGCTATGGCTGGATGAAATTAAACCCATTTATAACTGTGACTTGATAATTAAAAACAGTTTCTTACTATGGATTCTAAATTGCCAAATTTTGTTATAAGAGTCATAGCCATGCTGATAAAAAAAAAATGATAGGAATTAGGCTATATTAATGATAGCCAGACATTTGAAAATTAATTAATTATAATCTAATAAGATATTACCCCTTTGTATGTCTGCTAATAATATCAATTATATCTGGATTTACATATATATGTTAAAATGCTATTTTATTTTAATAAATACAACTAGGATGTAGTCTTGCTTAACAACAGTGGGATTGTGCAGGCCATAGTACCATTTTCTTCTCTTGTAACACTGTTCTACAGATGTGTGCCTTAAGAGATTGTTCTTCTTTTAGGTATCTGAGTTTATATAAAGCTTAGACAATGAATTACTCTCCCAGTATTTAATGTATGTATGTATATATACACATAAATAATTAGCAATATTTGCTTAATTTAAAAATGTTTTAATATGTTGCTCTTTATGTTAATTTTATTAGTTGTAAATACTCCCTCTGCTTTTCATTTGATTTTTGAAAGAATTAATTTGAGTAGACTATTTGAAACTTTCAGATGATGTGATTTCTTCAGTCACTCTCTGGATTATTGCTGATTTTGATATGCCATCTGGGAGAAAACTACTTTTTAATGCATTGAAGCACATGGTGAGTAGTATCCTTAGTAGAAGATTTTTAATTTGTTGTAATTTCATGAAAGCAATATGAAGAATGTGTATTAAATCTTTATTCCTCTCATGATACCATTTTAATTAACTTGATTGAACGTAGTACTAGGAGACTGACATAGGACATCAAATTCAATCTCTGTGTAATACAGAGATTGCTGGCAAAAAGAAAAAACTTACCTGTCTTCTATAAAGTTAAAAAGTCTGACAATACAAAATGTTTATGAGTCCATGAAGTAAAGGTATTCTTATATATTACTAGTGGAAATGAGACTAGTACAACTATTTTGAGAAATTGGTTTGTGTCTTCTGCAATTAAAGATATGCATATCCTGTTTGTAGAGCTTTAAACTAGAAGGTAAAATATCATTGGTAGTATGGATAAAAGAGACTCTTCAAACCATGCAGCTATGTGCAATGCCAAAAATAAAGTAACTGCAGCCACAAAAAAAAGCAATATTGATGGATCTTAACATTATTTCAAATGGAAATAGAGCACAAAATATTGTATACATATAATCCCTTTTAGGTGAAATTGGAAATGGATGATATGCTTAACAGTGCAGTTTAGGGGGTAAACAATAAGGAAAACGAGAATGTTCCTGTATGGTCATAAATGGCAGGAGAGTGTTTGTCTTAGAAAAGTAGGAGAGTGAGTGTGGTATTGGCGGAGTATATAAGGAAAGCTTTGCATTGCTGGGAGTGCCATATTTCTTGACCTGGGTGGTAGTTTTATGGTAGTTTAATTCACTGAGCTCTACATTTTTGTTATGTGTCTTATTTTGTGTGTAGTATTTAACATGCTCAGAAAGAGGCTAAGTAAAATGACATCTTATAAAGTAGTCTTTATGCAAAAAAGTGAAGTGACCAGAACTCCTAAAATGATTGTTTTCACCACATTCAATACAATTACCATAGACTGACATAAGAAGGTGATCTATGGTAAAGAAAAAAAATTTAATAAAAATAAATTATGTTCAATATAAAACATTTAATAATATAATAATTTAACACTATGAATCTGTTTTCCAGAAAACAAGTGTTCACAGTCGACTGGGGATTATTTATAATCCTACATCAAAAATAAATGAAGAGAACACAGCTATTTGTAGAGGGATTTTGGCAGCTTTTCTGACGCAGAAAGACAACTTTTTGAGAAGCTTTCTTGAGAAACTGGCAAAGGAAGAAACTGCTACTGCTATTTACTCTGGAGATAAAATCAAAACATTTCTTACTGAGGTCAGTGGTTATTTGTTTGAAGAAATAACTGTCTTTGCATATTTTAAAAGTATAAGTCAGTGTACTTGGAGATAACATGTTGTTGAAAACCATCAATAAATAAGCTTAGTGAGTTGGAGATACTAAACACTTTTACAATTTTGAAAAATAAACATTAATGATTATGACATTGCATAGGGCATTTAGCAAATCAAATTTCATGCATTTCATTAACTACTTTTTGAAAGTAGCTGAAATAAAACTTTATTTGATAAATAGCAAGCTGTCTCTTTATAACAAGTACAAACGTAAGAATTAAACATCATAAATGGGGCCGGTGCTGTGGCAGAGCAGGCTAAGCCTCCACCTGCAGTGCCAGCATCCCATGTGGGCGCAATTCAAGTCCCAGCTGCTCCACTTCCGATCCAGCTCTCTGCTATAGCCTGGGAAAGCAGTGAAAGATGGTCCAAGTGCTTGGGCCCCTGCACCAGTGTGGGAGACCTGGAAGAAGCTCCTGGCTCCTCGTTTTGGATCAGCTCAGCTCTGACCATTGCAGCCATTTGGGGAGTAAACCAGCAGATGGAAGACCTTTCTCTTTACCTCTGTCTCTCTGTAACTCTGCCTCTCAAGTAAATAAATAAATCTTTAAGAAATTTTAAATTAGTTCTAGTGGTTGAACTCTGTAATTAACACACAATTATTCTTAGGTGTTTAAATTTTAACTGAAAAGTGATCCCTGTTAGGAATTTGGAAAACATTATGTTGAGTGAAATAAGCCAATCCCAAAGGGACAAATACCACTTGTTCTCCTTGATAGCTGACAACTAACTGAGCACCAAAAAGGAAACCTGTTAAAGTGAAATGAACACTATGAGAAATGGTGACTTGATCAGCCCTCGCCCTGACTGTTGATGAACAACTTAATATGTTATCCCTCTTAGTATTTTTTTTGTTTGTTCTACTTAATACTTTTGGTTGAATACTGTAATCAATACACAATCCTTCTTAAGTGCTGAAACTTAACTAAAAAGTGATCGCTGTTAAATATAAGAATGGGAATAAGAGAGGGAAGAGATGTGCAATTCGGGACATGCTCAAGCTGACTCACCTCAAACGGTAGAGTTAGAAACATACCAGGGGATTCCAATTCAATCCCATCAAGGTGGCATGTGCCAATGCCATCTCACTATTCCAAGTGATCAATTTCAGTTCACAATTGATCATAATGAAAGGACTAAGAACCAAAGGGAGCACATAAACAAGTCTAGTATCTGCTAACACTAACCGATAGAATAAATAAAGGGGAGAGTGATCCAACATGGGAAGTGAGATACTCAGCAGACTCATAGAATGGCAGATGTCCTAAATAGCACTCTGGCCTCAGAATCAGCCCTAAAGGCACTCGGATCTGGCTGAAAAGCCCATGAGAGTATTTCAGGCATGGAAAGCCAAGACACTCTGGCAAAAAGATCTCTGTGAGTGAGATCCCAGTGGAAAGAACAGGTCTTCAAAGAGGGAGGTGCCTTTCTCTGAAGGGAGGAGAGAACCTCCACTTGA